GGTGCTCAGCCTGTGAGGTCCTCTGTCCCAGTGGGTGCATTCTGCAGGGTCTCTCCCTTCTAGTCGCTGAGACGGACCTTGCAACATCTGATGGACTGGGAGGGGAGACACAGCACAGCCTCTCTACTGTGTGTGGTGAGTCTGTTGTTGTTTGCAATTTCCCGTGAATCTGCCATGACTCACATTCTGAAAACTGCCCTACAACAAGTTTGCATTATTGCTTAATTCTTTTAAAATGAAAAGAGGACATGAACCAAGACAGAAATCTGAGTCTGGCAGATTCCTTGTGGCTTGGGATGAGGAGGAGGTGAGTTCATATTTTCAGAGGGCTTAGCCTAGGGCTGGATATACCACATGCATGGGTCTGGTATAAGCTTTTTGCTTTTTGAAAAAAAAATAAATGAAAATGAAAATGTAAAATTTAAAAATGAATGTACATTCCAGTTGTAAGGATAAACCTGTGTCATTTCTGCCCAGCCCTGACTCCATTTTGGGCACCCACAAATGCTAAGTGACCACCAACAGACTCTGGATACCTAGGAGTGGAACCGTGAGTCAGGCCGCACGGCCACGGGATGACCCCGGGCTCGGCGGCTGGTGCCACCTCCTGTGTGGCTGTCTTCTGGTGTTTCGTGCCACTTGTCTCCCAGATGGTGTCCAACGGTTGAGCACTGTGACCCTGTATCCCATGGATCTTCCTCCTCCTCCTGGGCCTCAGCCCCTCCTGACTAGACAGTTCTCCCCGTCCATGCTGGTTCCTCCATGCAGGCCCCTGGTGGGCAGTCCTCTCAGGCACAGTGCTCGACTCTTTTGATTCTACTGCCAGAGTACCCGGCCGTAGCCACTCACCCTAAATCAGAGGGAGGCCACTGTCAGTCCTGGCTGTAAGGTCATCTGCCTTGTGCCCTGCACGAGTCTAGACTAAAGCTTTCATAGCCTTTAGGGCACTCGGGGCAGAAGAGCCTGGGATCACCGCTCCCAAGCCCCAAGCTACTCAGGTCACCCCAGCCAACCAACAGCGGCCCCTGATTCCCGTCTGCCCCGGCTGGGCCCTTTGCCTTCTCTGCATCCCTTGTTCTGCCATCCCAGAGCCTGACTCGGGCTGGCGAGAGCGTGATTCGGTTCAGATCCTCTGTGGACAGGAGTCAGGCCCCCGAAGCCAGGGCCCAAGTGGATCCTGAGACCCATCCTAAGGAGTAGGGCCCTGCGCTAAGCCCGAGTTGACTCCAGACCCAGGCTGGCCCTACTCTATGAAAACACCTGTTACTCTTGGTGCCGGTGGCCTCAAAGCGAGCCCTCAGTCTGGAGTGACCCAGTCACAGTATAGCTTTCCGGAGCTTGAGCGTCTCAGGGCCATGTTACATTTCTGGGAATCTGGAGCACCTGGTAGGGATCTAGTCTCATAACACTGGGACGTGCACAGGCTAGCCAGGCCAAATGAGCTCAGGGCTAGAATATAACACGGTGACCCAGCTCAGGAAGTGGAAGCAAGTCTAGCCCATGCCCTCTGATGCCTTCTTGGTCCCCTCCGACCACAAGCCTAGAGCCTACCAGGCCTGAGACCCAACACACTCCCACACTCCAGACTGATACAGTCGCACCTCAGGCTGGTGCAATACCATCTGCAGCCAGAGGGTGGCACCACAGGAGACTCCAGAGAACATCTCTGCTCCCCCAGGGTCCCAGCCAACCTGGTGTCCTTTGGAGGTAACCAGCTAACACTTGTAGCCACACAGATCCCATCCTCCCATGACAAACAGAAGCAAAATGGACCATCTTTTCTCTCAAAGGGTTAAATAAGACAAAACTCCACTTAAAAAGAAATGTAAAGAAGCCACTTGGCAGAAATTCAAATTCCTACAGGATCAGCATTTCTTGAAATCAAAATATATGCTAAAGTTTCATTTCTGCCCAGAAACTGTGCGGCTCTGTATTAGCCAATCACCAGAGAATGTGAGGAAAAGCGATGAGCGCCAGAGTGAGGCGCTGGGCTCTTGACTTGCCAATATGCATTTGGACTGTCTATTCATTTTCTCGAAGCCCAAGACTCACCATGAATCAATCACCAGTGAGATGGGGACCCCAAACTCTCAGCCCATCCAAAGAGCAGGACCCTGTGAGTAAGAGCCTCCCATCAGGTCCTGGCCCTGAGGGTCAGAGGTTCTGAGGAACCACAACCCAAAAGGCTGCTGAGGGGGGCGTGAGTAGCAGCTGCCTAGAGCCTGGTCCACAGGTTTAGTGTAAACCTGGAATAGGTTTAGTCAGCACTGAGGGGAGCAGGTGGGCTCAGAGCTGGCACCCCCATGCACCTCTAACCCCTCAAAGCTCTCTCCTATCTGCCTCTTTGACCCCCAAGAAGTCACCTCCTCCCTTCCACACCACCAGGGGCCGGCACCACCTCTGGTTGGATAAATGTGCCCATGAGCATTTTCAGCTGCAGCCGGTAGACAGAGACATAAGTCAATGGTTGTGTGTTGCATGAGAGCCACATTTATTTCTTAATTGGACAGAGCCCTAAGTGCACACGAACAGTACAGGAGGCTACAGCTAACACTCAGGTGTAAACAGCAGGATACTAGTCATTACGTCAGGTGGTCACGACACGGGGGGCCAGGGGGTGCCCACAGCAATCACATATGTACAAGTCAGGGACACAGCCTCTGAGCTGCAGGGGAGCCCTCAGGATAGACACAAACTACAGGAGGTCCGGGCTCATGGGGAGACTCAGGTCAGCCACAGCATCTGCCCATCCTGGGGGACTGCATGGCTCCAGACCCAGGGGTAAAGGAATGTGTCTTGTGAGGTCCCCAGGCCGGGTGGAGCAGAGGATCAACATCTTAGCCTTGTTCACATCTGTAACATCAGCCATATTCAGTAATCCCAAGATACCCAGGGGTGTCCAGGGGCCGAAATAGATGAGGAGAGCAATTTAGTACGTGTGTGTGTGTGTGTGTGTGTGTGTGTGTGTGTGTGTTGAATGATATGTTGGCATGATTGCTTGGAGCAGGACAGGAGGTCTTAGATGTGTTATCCAGGCATTAGCAGAGTCTCACAATAACCCAGCCCTGGGTTCTCCTAGGATGCCAAAGCAGCCCACCTTCTCCAGGAAAGATGATTATCTCAAACAAAATTGAGGTTACAGCCGGGAAGCATCAAGTATCAGAACCAAACTGTGGTAGTGTTTTTCTGGACCCATCTCATTCCCTGCACTTAGCAGGAAAGAAGCTTCAGCTAGGAAGACTTCTTGATGACATGAGCCCACCCCCAGTCTCCAAGTCAGCCCTCCATGTCTCGCTGTCAGATGAATGACCTTCAGCGGACATGATAGTTTTGGGTAGGAAGGGCATGAAGAAATCAGGTTTCCTGCGCTGTGGATGGAGTTCTTGCTCAATCAGTTCTGGTTACGAGGCTCTGACTCAGGGCCTCCCACAAAAGCAGGGAGCCCCTCTTTGGTTCCCAAACAATACCAGGATAGCATTGGGCCGAAATGGAATGGCCCCTGAATGGTGTGTGTGTGTGTGTGGG